AACGAGCGCTCGCTGTACGACGCCTAAGCCAGCTCTATTCCAAATCAAATGTGTGGTTTGTTTACAGAGATTTGTTGACTGCAATCACGGTTCCAATGCCGGCTTTTGGTGGTTCAGTGGTAGAGTTGTGGCAACAGTTCTGACTTCTAATCTTTATCTACGCGAATAATAATACGACAGAGATATAATAACTACGACTACAAAGAGGACATAATATGGTGGTACTGAGCCTTGCTGTACGTGAGCCGTTCGTGGCGTAGTGCGTCTTGTTCTCTACCTTTAGTGATTGATACGATAGCGTTTCGCGCGGGTCCGCCGGCCTGTAGTGTATCCCCGACATGCGAGGTTAACTGTAAGTAGTATTGTGTCAGAGAGGAGAGAGAGCTTAAGAGAGAAGACCCGCCGCTCGCGGAAGACGAAGTGTAGAACTGAAGCCTAGCTCCCCTCTGGCACCGGTATTTATTGGCTCGAAAAGGGGCGGTACGGCCAAACCGGTTCTGGGCGGTACAAGTCCCGCCCCCAGGGCGGCCGGCCTGCATGAGCCGATCGATAGCAGAGACGCAGGCACCAACGGTGCTAGGGGTGCCTCCTCGATATCATGACCGAGGGTCATGACACTCCGCACAACAACAATAGTCATAATAAACCTGTCTACGTATTTTGCCTTTGGCATCCTTCCCGCCGGCGAATAAGAAAGTGAGTAGTATCAGCGTGTTATGTGGAGTGGGTGCAAGGTACAGCAAGCACAGGAAAAAGTACAACACACGCGTGAAGAGGAATGCACATAATAGGAAAGGATTGACTAATGGAAACAGAGATCTGAGGATATACGAGAATCTACAGATTACTATGTATACGATACAAAGAAATAGTCATGGAAATATAGGAAGGAGACTACATATAATTACTCAAACGAATGATATAAGAACTGTAAAGATGTGCCTGTCGTTTTTGTGAGGATCGGCTGCCGTGTGGTGGAGATGTCCGTTCAAAGTTGATGAGTTGACGACCGGCTGTTGAAGGTGATATTGGTAGAATGTTGTTATCGAAGCGAGTCGAGCATTCGAAATATCTATGAAGATGGCTTTTGTTTGTAGAAAGGGATTGTGTTGATAGCGTGATGGTAAAGTTGTTGTGTCAATGTAGAAATAACTTGCACAGAAGGCGAAAAGGAATACGTATCATGATGATAGTAAGGGAGAGGATGCGTCGAGTAACGTGGATAAGGAACAGTATGATGCGGAGTGGTGGTATATATGATAGTATTCGAAAGTTTGAGGTTAATTTGCACTTAGTTGTTTTGGACTCTTCTGAGCAGAAAATAGCGTTGCTCAACATGCGGACACTTATAGGTATAAGTAGTGTAGTCAATGTGTAAATAAAGAACTGTTTACAAGTATCAAAGAAATGTGATATATCCGGAAATGCGAGTTCAACATTGAATGTGTTCTGTTCGTTTGACAATAGTGGCTAAATTAGCTATGAGATCATCCATAGTCCATTGTGTGCCGTTATCGAATTCCTTGCTAGCGATCTCTTCTTGGATGTTTTTAGGGAATGTCTCAATTACCATTGTTGTCATATAGGTTGAGTCGACCACTTCCCCTTGTTTCTGCATAGTGGCTATGATGGCTTGTATATCGCTTAAGTTGTTTCGTAATGTGCGTGGGTCATCATGGCAGGCTTTCATGGACTTCAATTCTCGTATCAGCTGTATAGTAATGCGTTTGGGGTCTTCGTATTGACTTTTCAGTTGTTGCACTGCCTTTTCATATGAATCTCCTGTCCGGGGAATCATTCTTAGTGATCTTGCTGCGTCTCCTTTGCAACAGCTGAGTAGTATAGAAAGCTTACCGATATTGGAATAGGGTTGTTTATGGACCAGTTCTTCAAAGAGTTCCCAGAAAGGACCGAATTCCGTAGGGTTACCATGGAATTCAGGGACCTTTAGTTTGCTCAGTAGTCGTTGTTCAAATTGTTAGTGAGTTGAGTGGGTGTAGGAGTGAATCCTGTGCATGTACCTGCGGCGGAAGTGTATTTATGTTGCAGTCTGTGATTGTTTCACTGTGTGAAACCGTAACAGCAATCTCTTGACATTCTAGTTCGGTGAATCTCTTATCAAGTTGGTGTAGTATGTTTGATGTAAACGACAATATCTGCTCCCCTTTGCGGTCTTCCCAATATTTGTCAAATTCTTGTTCGCTTGTAGGGTCTTCTGTTGCGATAGCTTTAAGGCATTGCTCATAGTACGTTAAGATTTTATCGGCCTTTTCTTCAAGTTTCTGTTTGAGTTTTGTTAGTTTTAGTTTATTAGTGCTGATGTAGATCTTAAGATCAGTAAGTTCGGTGGGATAGTTCCATGGGGAGCGAAAGTCGTCAACGTCTTTCAGTAGTGTTTCAAGTGTAGTAAGCTGTCTAGATAGGCTGATCGTAGCCGACTTGATATTGAAGGGAGCAACGGGTGGTGACATAAGAGCGGTGACGGAGTGAGAGCCACTTGATGGAAGTGAGGAACTGGCCGACCCTCCGTCCTTATATACTGGAGAGAGTGGGCGGAGCAGGGCGAAGTTTTATTTTTATTATTTTTTTGGGTGTATCGTCACGTAGTCTAGGCCTATGAAGAAATAAAATGTCGTTGTTCAGCGAACGTTTAATATATGGTTTAATAGTGTTCAAAATTTTAGTATAAATCGTTACTGTAGATATCGAAACATTTGGTTTAAAAGCAAGGTTGGAATTAGTTGTGGTCTTGAGTTGCAGTATGAAGGGAGTTAATTGATGCTTGGAGAGTCCATTCTGTTATGTCGTTGCGGGTTGTACGTTAGAAGAAATGGGTTTGGCTATATAGCTAGTAGAGGGTTGGTAGGTGTGCGATTGTTGCGGGATTTGTTCATAGTTAAAATTAGTATATGGTATGAAATGTATTGTTGTGGGGGGATTCGTTAAAATTTCATTCCGAAGAATATCGAATTCCGTTGAGAGTTCTTCCTTCATTGGGGAAGGTACTGCTGCTAGAGCAGTGCCCGACCAAATGAGGTCTTTTGCTGAGTAGTTTTATTTTTCAGTTCTCGCACTAGTAGTGTTTTGGAGGTAATGAATACTGTAAGTTGCACGTAGTCCGCTGGGAAGAGCTAGGGTGCACAGTATTCATTGGCTTCTTGTGAGAGACATGTAAAAGTATGTATTTGAATTCCAAGGTGTTGTTTTGTAATTCTGAAGTTGTAAGGTTGGTTGTGTGTGGGTAGCGACATCAGCGCACGTCGAAAGTGAAAAGACGACTGCGCGTGTTAGTGTTTATATAGTGTGTCAGATGGGAGAGAGTGCAGGTGGATGAGTGTAGCAGTGCGACGCGTGAGTGGCTATGCTAGTATACCGTAACATATGTGTCATAAGCCAATCGCAGACTATAACGTTATGTGTTACGGAAATGATGTAATAGGTAAGCGACGTAATGTATGGTCCTATTAATTACGGTTGTGGTTACATGAGCAGATTGTAAACATGGGACGATAAGCAGTATTACATATGAGACTGATCACTTGTTGTGTTGATTACGGCTTGGTCAAGAATTGAGGCACGATCTGCGATGTTCTATTCCGAGAGGGTTGATCAAACCGTGTAGCTTTATTCCAGCCGAAGTGATAAATATCAGATATCGGCGATTTTTTTTTTGATGTTGCAAAGGACTCCCGGAGACTTTCGAAAGTTATTGAGAGGGTGTCTCTGGTTCATATGGATTTCCGTAACATATTTCTTTTGCATGCCTTCAATGCGGCACGTGGTCCTTAATCTGTAGACTGTGAGCGTCAATCGGCGTCAGCCGCGCACACACGGCCCAGTTTTTCAGCAGAGGTAGTGAGGGGGAAGTTCCAGCGATCGCCATTCCATTTGCAATTGTCTCTTGGCGTGAAGTTTTGTGAACCTCCGTAGACGATGGTTGGTGCCGGTGGAATACAATTAGTGTTCGTACTGAATTTATTGTCAACAGTGATGCCTGCATTATCGAAATTAGTATTGTGCGGAGTGATATTCAACGCTTTCCTTCATTATTTTATTTGATGGAAATGGCATTATTCTGCTTGATGGAAATGCTTGTGGAGGAGCTCCGCGGACGCCTTGATTATAGGAGTAACTTAATCAGGCATCTGCTGCTGAAGTGTGGTTCGCTATGACGGTGCTCTTCTGAGCGTTGCCTCCGCTTCGTAGGTGAATTTCGAATAATAGTGAATGAATAAGATTGTATTTGATAGGTTAGGTGGGGAGTAGAAGCATATATAGCATTATAGTTGTCGACTAGACGACAATGTTATGGTAGACTGCGGTTGGTATGCACTTGGTCGTTCTATGGATGGGTGGCGCTACGTTTGCTTTCTCATGGCTCCATTAAGCGCTGCTCGCGGCGGGATAACAGCAAGCGGAGAGGGTGCCAGACGGCAAGAGAGAGTGTTGTAATTGATTGTTACAATATTGACGGTGGTATAGTAAACTTCATTCTAGTTAGAAAGTTAGTTAAAGTTATAATTATTGTTATCAATTGATTGACTCGCCATATAAATAATTAACGTAGTTTGCCGACTGTTTTGGTATTGTCGTATCTACTGTATCTATTATTATTATTATAATTATTGTTATTAATACGTCAAAGCTTATTCTTGTAGTGTTCGCGTACTAAGCGTAGTGGGACTAATCAATTGCCGCCTGTAATGTAATTAATTTATTGGTCTAATATTCTTGATCTTTTCTTGTGAGCTCGATCTCGCTAGGAAGTGTAGGAGGATAGTAACATTGTATTAGTGCCTCGGAGGAGAAAAAAAAAACTGTGTCGTAACTAAATAATGTAGATATGCACACGGAGGATACCGTGAAAAGACGTCAAATAGTACACGTGTGTGTCGTCGTAGTTATTGTTTTTTTTTTCTTAAAAAAGGTCATCATTAGTCTATAAGTATTTTAATTTTCATCCGAAGAGTAAACACCTTCTTCTTCGCTCGGCCAGGTCTTCAGATTCGTCCGACGCCACTGACGATGGAGGTGGGGTCAATGGCACGTAGTGTGGTAGGAAATGCCGGTGAAACCGGAAAGCCCCGATTCGCTGGCATATCTAGGAATAAGAATTGAAGCAGCATATCTTCTTCCTCTGGGAGGTCAGGCTCCTCACAGGGATTATAGCGAATTTGGCGTTCCCCTGGCGGGGGGTGAAAATAAAGGTCATTCAGCCATCGCTCGACAGGATCATCGATGGCCCGATCCTCCAAAGTTGTATTTATATTCATCCGTAGTTTTAGTATTCTATAGTGTGATTGAGTGGCGGCTGAAAAAATTTCCTAGAGTACTAGCGATAGTTGGTGGGTAATAGAGTCATTAGATTTCTTAACTTGTTATCGTTATCAATCGATCAAAGTAATTGTTAGTGTTCATTGTAATCTGGAGTGGAATTCTCCTTCTTTGCCGTTCATCCGCTTAGAGCATGGTTGCTCGATTAATGATTCGCTCGAGATCGCCGATCGACATCACGGCAACCAATTGGACACTCCAGTCTTGGTTTCAGATATTGGCTTGAAGGACTTTAAAAGGCATTAGTTGTGCAAAGGGCGTTAGTAAGTACTTGAAGGAAACTTAGGTTTAAAGTTCCGGGCCGTTATGTTATCGTCATATACAATCATAAATATAGTGGCGTCAAATTGTGGTTCTATTCCTTATTACTAGTTTTGTAGTATTTTTTGTGAGTTGTTGGGTGAGTGAAAAATTTTATAGGGTTACGAGTTGGTTAGACTAATATCAATCAGTCCTACTTGTGCATGTTGGCTTGATAATCAATACATTCACGTATACTGTGCGTATGCGCTGTAATCGCTGTTCCTCATAGCTGTTAAGCTTCCGATGTTAGTGTGAGAGCACGAACGCGTTGATAACTCAAGTGCGTAAGCGCAAGTGAGATCGCGCCGTGCGAATGCGATAAGAGAAATAATGTTGCAATGGTTAAATGTTATAATTTTGTGTTCATTGAAGGAAGTTGACGTGGTGATTTAAACGAGTTTTGATGATTTGTAGAGGGGAGTAATGCTTAGAAAGGGTTAGGTTTGTATGGATAGGATATCCTGTAGTGCGACGTCTGTTTGGTGGTGAATCGTATGTAGGGGGTTTGTATTTCGCGCGTAGTTGATTTGATCTGGGCCCAGGTAAATTATAGCAATGTTATAGTACATCTTGTGCACATGAGGAAGATAATATTTGAATTATTGTTGCGCAATTGAGTTAGGTAATTCATAAATTCGGTGGGCCTGATGATAATTTGCGCCTTGGAGCCAGTTTGGAGCTATACAATTCATGAAATTCGGTGGGCCGCGTTATATTCGCGCCCTTGGAGCTAAACGATATTTGTGGATCCACGACTTCTTTTTCGGCCACATAAAGTGCGCACAATGTTATGATTATACAGGTTAATCAGCTGATATTTCTTCCTCAAAAAATGCAGCACTGTCATAAGTGTCTGCAGTAGTTATGGCTCCATATAAAACAAGTATGCAAGCTTGCGACATTCCAATTGTCAGTCATATAAATAAGCTCCAAATGGAATATGTCTCTTTTCTCTTTTTTTTTCTTCTTTCGTTTGTGGCCGTATAAAATATCATCCGGATTTATTTGATGCCCTTCGTTCCGGTACAGACTGTGAACGAATGCAGAGTGAAGGCGTTCCCTTTGCGGGCGCCGACGTACGTACGTAATATTTCTGAAATTTGGTGATGCAGTCCTTTTCATGATGGGCTGCGGAATGGTGGCCCAAAAAAAAAGGCGTACCCTGATGGGCACTAATGTTGCAACTTGTAGGAAGTAAGCGCTTTTGTTTTTATTGCATTTGCTCGTATTTTCGTGTTATTGAAAAAAAAGTTTTTTTTTGTTTCGTTTTGTTATATATATTTTTTGAATGGATCCAATAAATAGATGACACAAATCACAAGACAATTTATAGAAATAATGAAACTTTTTTTTGTATTTTTGGTCTTTTATCATTGAATCGTCTTCATGGCTTCGTGCTCTGTTTTCGGAAGGGAAAAAAATGTTCGCGTCCGACTGAGATCAACAAGGACTAATCAACACAGAGCACCGGTAATGATGTTACTAAAGTAGTAGAGGGGGCGGTTTATGTGAGATTGTGCAAAGAGAAACGCTTGTGGGCGTGTTCGATTTCGAGTAGAATTCGCGTGAGAGGCGGTATAGTTAGCACTTGTCCTCAACGGATATTTTGGTTGTTTCTTGGCTGGTGATATATTCAGCAACTGAGCTGGCCTCAAGAGCCTTATATGACAGGGAAGCCTCGACCGTTTGTTGTCATTATCATTTATGCAAAATGTTAGGTAATAAGTGAGTCCAAATAGTAGGTAAGTACCTGGACAGAGGGGTGCAATTAATCTCATGTAGAGAGGGCGGATGTGGGGTCGGTAGGTGGTGTTGGAGGGCTGACAGGATGCTCGTGCGAAGGAGGGTATGATTATTTCAGTGTGAGGCGACGCAGGTAGAAAGAGGTGATTTGATGGGCGGAGTTGTGTTCGTTGTCACGCGATTACTTTCTCGAATATAGCGAATGTGGTGATACTGATAATGGAGAGTGCCGTGAGTTTATCGGTATTGGTGGTTGGGGTCGGAGGGGTACGTATTTAGGGAGTAGATGAGGAGAGCAATGTGTGGCGAGTGGTCGGTGTGTGAAGTCGTGTTGAGTTCGGAGTGCATTCTGCTGAGCTGAGGTGATCACGATCAATCTATAATAGATTGCTAACCAAGGGGAAAGGTTCTGTTGATCAGATGTACATTCACTCATATTGATTTATGTATCTATGTGGCGTTATCGTATGATATTTATATTGAATCAAGGATGCGATCATGCGCGTTCAGGCGGTCTGGAGTGATTTACTCGTAGTGAAAGACTTAAGTGTAAGAACGTGGGTTTGTTAACATATAGTTTTGATCTAAGGGAATCGCGGGAATGAGTTCAGGCGGTCAGGAGTGTAATGCACTCGTAGTGTTAAACTTATGTCATGGCGATAAACTAGTGTATTAATTAAGAGGGATGAGTTCAGGCGGTCGGGAGGTGAAAAGTAAAAATAAGACTTGCCTGTAATAAAGTGAAAAATAAGACTCACATGTGATAAAGTGAAAAATAAGACTCTCAAAGAAAGACTCACCTGTGAGAGAGTAAAAAATAAGGCTCACCTGATGATAAAAATGAAGCTCTAGCCTGGCCGTAAGAAAACTTGTATGGATAAAATCGTTAACTATGATGTGTATATGTGCGACGGGGGAGAGCATTTGGAATGATTGTTAGGTTATAGTGTTGGTTTTTATTGCTTAAGATTTAGTAATTGTTTATTTAGCTGTAGCAGTGGATGTTTTGTGAATCAGGGGGTGTCGTTATTACTGAGTTCTTGTAGCGCGAAAATGTACTTGGAGAGGAATAAAATGTAGTGTAGTTTCACAGCTTTATCCTGAGCGATTAGCAGTGCAGATCCCTGATGAGGGAATACGTACAGGCATTTGGGAGTGCATTCATTCGTAGTGTCTTAGGTATTGCTATGTTTACATAATTTAAATTTCGGCGATAAGTTCAGACGATTGGGAGTGTATTCATTCGTACTGTTATATGTATGTTATGACGATAAAGTAGTATATTAAGGGGGGGGGTGCGTTCAGGCGGTCGGGAGAGATAGAAGTAAAAGAAAGACTCACCTGCGGTAAAATGAAAAATAAGCAAGTAGTAATAACTCACCTGGCATAAGAAAACGTGTGTGAAGAAAATGCTAACTATGGTGGTTTTGTGTGTTATTACGACAGACGCCACTGGCTAAGCGGAAGTGGGTCTTTAGTGTTGTCGTGTTTGGGAGGAGTGATATATATGTGTATAGATGAAGTATAAAAATGTTAGAAAAGCACTCATGATAACACTCACCTGCGAGAGAGTAAGAAAAAGGACTCACCTGAAGTGGAGGAGAAGCACTGTTCTGGTTCGGGCGCGATCGCTGCATCGCCGAATACGAATACCATGTTGTCTTTTTCAACAGAGACTAGAATACCAGGAGGAATCCGGGTTCGTCGAACGACTGTATTTTAACTGGTAGTAGGTCATGCACAGTTGAAAGCATATTGTTTTACGGTTGTATATTTAGGTGTCTATAGGCTGAACGCGTGACGTATCCCTGCATTGTGGATTATAGTGTTTAGTGTGAGAGATTGATTACTTATAGTGTTGGACGCATAATAAGCTCAATAGGATTATATTTCCGAATTCTTTACGTTGGTCACTTGTTTACGTAGTGTATCTATATATTGTGTATCATAGTTTCAGATCTAGAAAATTACTTGACGGCTCATAGCATGTGGACCCGTAATTAGTTAACTTTAATATGATTGATATTTTGCAACTTTTTTTTTGTTTTTTTTTGCGTAGTATGTGTAGTGTACGTAGGAAGTAGTACCATGTTTGGATGCATCAGTACATGTAGTGTATGTGTAGGCGGTCCGTAGTTCTTAAATCGGCCGATGCACCATGTTTGGTGCATCGGTAGATGTAGTGTGTATTTGTAGGCGGCCCGTAGTTCTTAAATCGGCCGATGCACCATGTTTGGACTGCATCACGGTCCAATGCGGTTTTGGTGGTTCAGTGGTAGAGTTGTGGCAACAGTTCTGACTGTATCTTATATCTACGGATAGTAATACGACAGAAGATAATATAGATAACTACTACTAACAAAGAGCACAATTAATATGGTGGTTACTGGCCTTGCTGTACAGTGAGCGTTCGTGGCGTAGTGGGTCTGTGTTCTTACCGTAGTGTTGATCGATTAGCCGTTCGCCGCGGGTCCGCCGGCCTGTAGTGTATCCCCGACATGCGAGGTTAACTGTAAGTAGTATTGTGTCAGAGAGGAGAGAGAGCTTAAGAGAGAAGACCCGCCGCTCGCGGAAGACGAAGTGTAGAACTGAAGCCTAGCTCCCCTCTGGCACCGGTATTTATTGGCTCGAAAAGGGGCGGTACGGCCAAACCGGTTCTGGGCGGTACAAGTCCCGCCCCCAGGGCGGCCGGCCTGCATGAGCCGATCGATAGCAGAGACGCAGGCACCAACGGTGCTAGGGGTGCCTCCTCGATATCATGACCGAGGGTCATGACAATTTCTATAACAGCAGCAACTGACTCTATGCACTCTTACCACAATTATCGTCATCAGCAACTTTCATTGAGGCATTTAAAGGGTTCCACCCCCCCCCCCCGCCCCCCCCCCCCCCCCCCCCCACTGCTGAATGCGGGAGTGTGCATTCCAAAGCAAGACGCTTTAGGAAGACAGATTGCATAAATTATAGGCTGCTTCAGTGGCTGTCCAAACAGGCTGCACTATTTCCGTGTAGGTTATGAACGTACCAGTCGGATCGCTGGCTAAGGCCGGCTTTCCTCCTTCTGATGATCGGGGGGGGGGGGGCGCTGCTGCTGCTTCTGCGCCTTGACGGAACAAGCGCTGCTTTTCAGTTCTTGGCTGATGCAGAAGATTCCTTTGAACAGTGTGGTTGGTCAACGATCCTTAACTTAGCACGCGGCAAATCCCTGCACGGCGAAGCTGGCCATGTCACAGAAGAGAGGGAGCCGCCCGGCGACAGCGGGCGATCCGGAACTGTCTGTCAATATCTGTCTGGCAGATGAGAGGCAAGAAGAAAGGGTTTTGGTATGGACCGTCTAAAATAAAATATCAGCACGGGAGCGCATTTCATTCTCATTGCAAGCATCAAAACCTACCAGACGGATTGGAATTATCAGAAGTCCCGACGAATGGTACATAAAAATGTATAATAACAATGGTAGAAATACGGTAGGATTGGCCGCTTGGCCATTCACAAGGGAGATTTAATCAGAGACGTACCCTCAAGGAAAGAAGAGGCGGTCAGCTAAGAAATCCTAGTGATCGTACCTTAGGTTTAACCCTTGGCACGCCAGTAACGTGCGCTGTGAGCATGATTCCCAAATACTTAGATGACAAAATAATGCAGTCTCGGAACTACTGGATACATTATTTTGTTCTGTACAGAGTAAGACACCACTTGTATCGATGGAAGTTTTCCACGAACAATGCATCCTACGCGAGTGAAACAAGCAGCCGCGCCCACTCTAACTGGGAACTTGTAAATTGGTGGTGTCGCCTAGTGGAGGAAAATTCGGTCCGACCCTCTGGTAAGAGTATCGCAGGACTTTCTTCCCAACCGAATACATCGATACTTCGTCTCTCGCCATGGCACAAGTACGGTCTAGTTTAAAGCGCTTTCACTTTTTCTTATTCTTTTTTTTTCTTCACGGACAAGTCAACTAGCACTACCCTTCTCTTTCTAACCTCTTACCTGAGAACTTATCGCCGGCTAGCCGTGAAGTCAGGCTTCAATAAGTAGTATAGAATCTCGTTGGTAGCTTCTGACAAGGAAAAAGGCAAGGTCTGTTACGAGAGACGAGGGAGGCACCAGCTTGCCGAATGGTTTTACGTTGCGGCACTTGAATATTGAAATTTAGAGATGATATGTGAAGCTCACCTTGAAGCTTTTGGAAGTTGAATACTTTGTTGAAGCCGTTGAAGTCCCAGCTTCTTCCACAGTCTGAGGCGGAGACGCTGTGGTGGTGGTGGAAGTAGAATCTTCAGAAAAGGTTGTCGAAGCAGTGGTATAGCTGGTATCAGTCATTGTCATTGCAGGAGACGAGGACGTCGTGGACGTGACTGTAACGGTTGAGGTAGTCCCACTGCTTGTGAGGGTGGTCGAAATCGCAGCGGAAGTGGCTGCCGCTGTCGAGGTGGTCGTTCGTGTCATTGAGGTAATCTCACTGCTTGTGACGGTGGTCGAAATCGCAGCGGAAGTGGCTGCGGCTGTCGAGGTGGTCGTTCGTGTCGTTGTGGTTGTCGGAATCGTGGTAGAGATGATTGTCGTACTCCAGGTTACTGTCTCGGTAAGTACTGTTGTTGACCTAGTTTTCTTTGTCGCCCTGTAATGTGTGTTATATTTATGTTGTTTTGTTTCGGTTGATTAGCGTTTCATGTTTTGTGTTCCCCCCCCCCAATGTGGTACCTCCCTTGATGCGGAATCTTGAGCTGATTTTTCGAGAGGCTGCGTAACGCGCACAATTGAATCGGAAACATGTGGATCTTCAAAAGACATTTCAACAGGCAAAATCAGCATGTTGCAGTATGATAGCTTTGTTGGAACCAACGCCCCACTTTTGTTGCAACGCTTGCTACAATACTGGTGGCCCTAGTACTGTAACGCCTCTTATCAGGTTTCATCAACTGTCATCACCAACCAGTTTAAGGAAGACTTAACTTCGCTGTTGAATCAGAATTGAGAAGGAAACATAAGTGATATACAGTCCGTTAAATGTGTGAAAGCCAAACGCGATACAAATATTGGGTTGTCCGGAAAGTTCTCAGCGTTTTGAGTGTTTCACTTTAAACGATCATAACTTTCTTAATACTCATCGGATTTAATCGAAATAAGCACCGTTCGAATCAGCACACTTTTGCCAATGTGACACCAGTCGATAAATCCCATCAAAGAAAAAACTGGGTCGAGAATCCACGAAATCCACGAAGGCTTTTTTGCCTGGTCCTGATTGATGAAGTATTTTCCAGCAAGGAAGTTCTGAAAATGTTTGAAAAGGTGATAGTCGGTTGGTGAAAGGTCTGGAGAATATGGCGGGTGAGGTAGAACTTCAACCCCCAATTCGTTCAATTTATGGATAGTGATTTGTGAAACGTGTGGCGTTGTCATGCAAAAGAATCGGACCCTTTCTGTTGACAAGTGCTGGCTGCAGCTGACGCAATTTTCGGTACATCGATTTCTTCACAGTAGGACTCTGCTGTGATGGTTTGGCCTGGTGACAAAAAGTTATAGTGGATCACACCAGCCGATGACCACACACTGTGACCATAATCTTTTTTCGTGAGGATTCGGCTTTGGAAATTGCCTCGGTGGTTCGTCGGCATCCAACCACTGTCCGGAACGTCTCCTGTTATCATACATGATCCACTTTTCATCACAAACGGGTCGTTTCTGTTGCGCAAAAGCAGTGAAGAAACCTCGAGACGTGCCAATTTCTGCCGGTCACTCAAATTGTGGGGCACCCACTTGTCGAGTTTTTTCACCTTCCCAATGCGTTTCAGACCATCCGCAACAGTGGATTTGCCAACGCCTAGCTTTTCTGCAATCTCTGTTTGGGATGGGTCAGCCTCCACAAACGCCTTCAAATCCTCGTCAGGTATTGCTTTAGGTCGACCGCTACGAGGTTCATCTTCAAGGCTGAAATCTCCAGAACGAAATTTGTCGAACCATTGTCGCACGGTGCTTTCTCCAACACTATTGGGCCCCCACACCTGGTTAATTTGTCGAGCTGTCTCGACTGCGGATTGACCCAATTTGTAGTTGAAGAAAAATATCGTCCGAAGTTGCTCTTTTGACATGCTTCAAAAAGTCTTGTTCAGGAAGTCTTCGGGAAAGGGGGTTTTCAAGCAATGGTGAAACGGCAATTATACCATCAGATAGCGCAAGAAATTCTCTTCAGGATGTACTACTGAGACGCAAGGGAGAATGAGTTTTTAATCAGCAATGAATGTACAAAAATAGTAACACAAAACGCTGAGAACTTTCCGGACAACCTAATAATTTGGAACGAAAAACGTAACGAGCGCAAACGAGCCTTCCGGTAAGCGCGAGTTGCGGCGTAGTGTCCTGTGCAGGGTCCGACTTTTGCCAATAACTCCGCATTCTTATGACTTTCGGAGCGCGCAAAGCGGCGGTAAACAGCAGCTCTAGAACATGGAAAAGCCTTCATCCTCTCGGTTTACGGCCAATATCGGCTAACTGGTCCATCACGTTGGAAGTGTGACTGCTGCAGGGCTATCGCACAAAATTTCATCTAGCTAAGAAGGCAGGAGTGGCACCGGTAGCGAATTGGATAAGCAACTGTCCGGTAAGCTGGACATTCTCGCGATAATTTGCAAAATTTTTCCCAGCCCAGAGCGCTCCCTGCGGGTTGCCTCCATCTCTTCACTCTCGCTCTCTCTCTCTCATCGCTCAGCTAAAACCGCATGGGCCTAGCTGCGAGGTATATGGCTGAAAGATATACATATTTCTTAGGAATGCCAATAATTGCCAATAATGATTCGAAGATTTCAGTTTCGACCTCACAGACAAGCATCGAACCTAATGCCCTATTCTGTCCAACTGAGAGCTTACGGAATTACCTTATTAACTGAGAATCATGCCAAAGATTGAGGGATCGTTAGAGGTCATAGAATGCTTCCTTATCATTATCAACCACCACCCTCAGTTGATGTTAGACGTTCGAAAATAAGTGGGTAGGTTCTGCAGGCAGTCCCTCCCCAAGAGGGCCCCACGCGATGCTCTTTTACAAGGCCCGAATTCCATCTCTTGATCCTTAGGCTGCGTTTATACTTTGCGGCAGCGTAGCGTAGCGCTTCCAGCGTACGCCAGCGGCAGTGCCGAAGAGAGGATGCATATCGATCTAGCTTCACCAGCGGCACGCTGGCGTACGCTAGCGGCACGCTAGCGTACGCCAGCGTG